GACCCACCAAAAGATGTACTTACTGAGTGGGACGCGTCCTCTTTTTCATTCTTCTGGCCCTCGAGTGTCTCCTCCTCCTAAACTCGAGGGCACGGAGGACCCGCACATCCTGTGCCCCCTCAATTGGCAGGGGTGGAGGTGGCAGCGGCTCCTGTTGCCGCCTCTCACTGAACCTCCTCAGAGCCGTGTAGCGCCGCCTGATGGCGCCGAGGGCCCTTCGGAGGTCGGCCACCTCCCTGTTCAGCTCAGCCACGATGCAATTAAGGTTCTGGTCCTGGTCCTGGTGCTCCTCCTCGCCGCCCCCATCGTCCACCCGGAACTCCTCCTCAGAATCGACGTAGTTGAAGCCATTAAAATGAAAAACAACGATTGTGTCCTCCATTATTGCAAATTAAAGTTTGACCTGTGTGGGGCTCTTTTATAAACTTTTTGAGGCCACTGTCCAGAGTGGACTGTCCATTCAGCAGGCAGGCCACTTTCAATTGAGAGGACAGTCCAGAGTGGACTGGGGGTTTTCCGGCCCACTTTCAACTGATAAGACTGTCCAGAGTGGACTGGGGTTTTTCCAGACCACTTTCAACTAAGAGGACTGTCCAAAGTGGACTGGAAAAGGTCAGCAGGGGGGTTTAGGCCACTTTCAACTGAGAGGACTGTCCAGAGTGGACTGGCATTTAGGCTAATGATACAATTATAATTTGAGGCTAATAATACATCACTTATGGCTGTGATGTACATCAATGTGTGGATTTTAATTAATTAACTGTCACTGTCCCACAGGTGGGACGTTTGCCACTATATTTTTAAAACACTAATATCTTAGTAAAAACCTTAAATAATATTGACAAACTATATATCATTTGAAAGCTTACAATCTCTAGTTTCCATATTTGGTGACTGATTTTCAAAATATATTACAGAGGAGCCATAATTTATCAATATAAAACAAGAATATTTTCATACTCATAAGGTGTGTTCAGACCTTTATTTTAAAATAGCAGTAAACATGAAAAATCATGAAAAAATGGTAGATACCTCAGTTTGTTTTCATGCCAAAAGTTCAAAAGATAGAATCCATTCAATTATTTTGGAAAAAAAAGGTCTGAAAAGTTTGAAATATCAAGAAAAAAATAATAAATTCATCATTTGTGACGTGGCAGCTAGCTATGACTTACATGCGTGTTCTTTGTATGTGTTTCTTAGAGGTTCAATTCAAATCAAAATCTGCCAAACTTCCCATGCTACTTCTGAATAGGATCTCTACTTCAGAAATTGTATGAAAATTGTGAAAATAATGGTTCATATCACTCAAAACACGAATGGAAATGCAGGCGCCCTTATATGGGCAGTAATGGAGTCTGATTGTGCCCTAGTGAAAAAGTTTGGTACTGCGCTCAAACAAAATCTTACTGAAAGCTCATTTTTTGAGATATCAACCTAAAATTTGAAACACAACTTGTTCAGATTTTTGGCTTTGATCTTTCTGCCATTTTAGAGTAGCCCAGGTTTTGAAAATATATATTTTATGTAAAATATGAATAATTAATATTTTTACATTGTACATTTCCATAAACTCAAACTTCTATAACTTTTTTTCTGTTTCACTTTCTTAATTTATTTCACTTCTACAAAAATCTGCCAAATGTCTTCTTTAAAACAAGATCAATCATATGTCTATATTCCAAAGCATTCTTGAATTACAACCATTTAAGTTCGAAATGTGCATTTTCATGTCTATTCAAAAAAGGGGGGGTGACAGTTAACAGGTTAAGATACAATGATCAAAACTAGTGTGATGTGTTCAAAAGAGTGTGCTTAGTACAGTAGAGGTGAAAACTCACTCAAGTTGTGTGAAAGCAAGTGCTCATTACAAAGCAGATGACAATTTGTTGACCCATTAAAGACAAGAACACGAAAGATTATTTAAAAAACTTTATTGAAAAACAAAAACTCAAAAATAATCAAAACTCAAAAGAAAATCAGGGAGGAGGTCTTCTGAAAAACAAAACAAAACATTGTTTTAGTGGAAGGCTTATCGAGTAACCGCGGCAACATTAAGAATCGTGCTGACAAACGGACTCTTACCCGTGTCCACGCACTCCCTCTGCTGTGCCAGCGCTGTGGCCCCCGACGGCGGTCAGCTCAGCCTTGTCAGTGTTTTGGGAGTGTTTTGTTCTGGGGAATGGGAGTGTTTTGTTCTGAAAAACAAAGCGTCGACTTAGTGGACCACTCGTGTATTATGTGCAGCGCTATCAGAACCGTGATGACATGGGGGATTCATACCTGTGAAGGCGGCCTCCAGGTCGTCGGGGGTCCACAGCGCTGGCACAGGATTTGTAGCTGAAAAGAGCTCATCTGAAAGACAAACCGTCTGTTTTAGTCATCAACAATCATTAACAATAATCGATGATCACCGATATCAGGATTGTGACGATCGGCGGATCCATACCGAGTAGCTCCTGCATGTCCTCGTTGTGCCCAGACTCGGGTGGCGGCACCTGAGGCAGCGCCGGCTCCAGGGACCGGGCCTCGGCCGGGGACCGGGCCTTGCCCGGGGAGCCATCGGCCTGGGAGAAGTCGGGGACCATGGGGACGGCTGGGTTGCTCAGCCGCAGCGCCTTAAGCTTCCCCACGGTCACCGACTTCTCCAACGCCCTCACCACCCTCAACCTCGAGCTGGTCTGAAATGTAGAAAAACAGACGATGGCACTCATTATACCAACGACAAACATACAGCCGTATCACACACCGATTTAAAACACGGGGTCAGTTTTAACGCAGACTTACCGTCAGGTCCCGGTGACCCTTGAGGAGATGTTTCTCCGGGTACCTGACGACCTTGCCGCAGAGCAAACAAGCTAAATCCATCAGCTTTACTCTGCGGCGGGCATATTTAACTATTATGCCCCTCTGCTCGAAGTTGAGCATGGCGTGGACGCCCCTCAGGTGCTCGCTAATATATGCCATCCGAGCTGGGCACATGGGACATCGAACGTCTGTGAGAAAAAATGTGCCAAAAAAGTCAAAACACACACACACACATTTTAACTATTTATTTAAGTCCACTTGAAAGAAATGATTTACAGGGACATAAACACGCACACACACACACACACACACAGCTTATGACACAAAACTGATGTGTAACAAACCATTTGTAACATTTTGCCATGTCAACTTACCTTCTCTTAAACTTTTCGGCATCTTTAAAAGATGAAAAAAAAAAACCCACACACTTTAATCAGCTAAAATCATTAAAGACAATTTAATCAATAAAAATGACAGGCCTTTGGGGGAACTTGACATTAAATAACTTCCCTGGACTGATCAATTTAGGCCCAAAGGTTAACCCTATCATTAAATGGTTCATTAAATCACAATTCCATCAATAAAATTGACAGTCCTTCATGGGAACTTGGCATTAAATAACTTCCCTGGACTGATCAATTTAGGCCCAAAAAATAAACTAAACAGTAATACGTGTTACAAAGCACAACACGGGACTTTGTGTACGGTACAATATCATGGCACAAAGCACTTTAAAGTACAATTTAAAATAATTCACGAGTGCATAAGCTAAAATATCAGAGAGCAGGTTAGAGAGACTCACCGTGCATCAGACTACCAGCAAATGGGATTATTTTAGTGAAAATGACACTTCCCACGCCCTCTAACCAATCAACACCATCCATTATTGTCACGACGACTGATAAACAATCTTCAGTCCTGACAAATGTGTACAAACAGAGCTTACAATAATTATTGTAATACTTAAAACCACTCCATCTATGTCTGTCTGTGTCAGTAGAGGTGGTTTGATGAAAAAAATAAAAACTCCAGTCCGCATTCACACTTTTCAGACTGTTTTTTTGACAGACATTTTGCAATTAAAGGTCCTGCCATGATAAAAACTATTTTACTGCACTCGGCAGGCCCCGCGGTGTCCATAGCCCCGAGCGCCATCCCATAATTCCACTGTCCGTGAACCCCCTATACGTCCAATAAACCACTATATTAATGAACATTTTAATTAAAGTTTTTTTTTTTCATGATAAAAACTGTTTTACTGCACTCAGAGGGCCCCCCCGAGTCTGTGGCACCAAGCGCCGTCCCGAAATTTCACCGTCCACGAACCCCCTATTTTTATAATTGCATAAATGCTACGTGGGATGTCCAGACCTCGGCTCAAAGGAGCAGCAACGTATAACTTGTTTATGAAGCCCCACTTGCTTCTAGGGACACCAAATTTGAATCTCGTTTAGAACCTTTTCAGACCTTTCCGGGGACACCACTAGAGCATAAAACGTGAATTTCCGTGCTCTAAAACTCAACGCATCCAGCCGTGGGTGGGCTCTTTGGAAGCGTCTATTTGAGCAGAAGAGAATGGTAAAAGAATCGTCCCGTTTGGCTGCGTTTTCGCGGAGATATGAGCCGAAAACCGTCGGGCGCGTTCTAAAATGGCGGCAGCACTCCAAAATGGCGGCCGCCGAATCTCGGGACTAAATCGCCCGTATCTCGGTGACCCCGGCGAGTTGGACATCATGGGTGGGCTCGTTGGAGAGGCCTTGTCCTCCACTGCAAATATATTAAAGTGCCTGGAACGTGGAGAAAGTGGCTCCCGAGAAAGAACGTCCTTTTCCCCTCCATTGATTATGGATGGTGACTGTAAAATGTGAATGGTGACTGTTTTCACCTAGATACTGTACTAAGCACACTTTATTGAACATCACACTAGTTTTGATCACTGTATTTTAATTAAAATCCACACATTGATGTACATTAAACACTCCCTGCTGACTTTTGGACAGTCCTCTCAGTTGAAAGTGGCCCGGAAAACCCCTAACACCGCCCCAGTCCACGTCGGCCGGTCCTCTCAGTTGAAAGTGGCCTAAACCCCCCTGCCGATTGGACGGCCGCTCCCAGTTCACTTTGGACAGTCCATCTCAGTTGAAAGTGTCCTCCGAAAGAGTATAAAAGAGCCCTGCACGGGTCGGTCTTTACAGCAAGAACTCGAGATGGCGATTGAAGACTGCCCGATCTGCTTCCGACCCTACCACCAGCTGAGCCAGCACCTGACCAACACCCACCTCGTGAAGAACAAGGAGGAGAGGAGACTGCTGCTGGCACTTTCTTCCGGGAGGGTGGACGTCCGGAAGGGCACTTGCCCGGTGCCCGCCTGCGGCAAGACCACCGCCTGGATGGACCGCCACCTGAAGTGCCACAGCGAGCTGACGCCCTCGACTCGGAGGAAGACTTTGGCTTCCATCAAGCGGAGGAAGATCCTTGCTGACCTGGCCAACCTGAGGGCGAGTAACCCCGAAGTGCCGCTGGCCTCGACCCTGGACCAGGAGGACGTCTCGGGGCCTGTGGAGGAGGAGGAGGATGAGGAGGAGGTGGCGGACGCCCCTGCTCCGTCCTGCGCCAACCCAGCCTGCCTGGACATGCACCGCCAGGTGGAAACCCTGAGCAAGGCGCTACAGGAGGTCACCCGCCGCTACAAGCGACTGAGGAGGAGGTCGAGGTCAACCCCCTCTTCCCAGGTAGCGAGGGTGACGGGGAGGCTCCTGTCCGCTCTCAGGTCCCCCGGGAAGGGAGACGGCGGCGGGGATGACGAGGAGGAGGAAGGAGAGGCCGGGCCTTCGGAGGAGCCGGACGACGGGGTCCCCCAGCCTCTCTCCCCTGCCCAGCCGTCTACGCAGCAGGAGAGGCATCCCTTCCCCGACCACGTGCCAGCTCTGAGTGAGTACTATTTATTTTATTTTAGGATTGCTTTTACCTGATGATTTTTTTAACTCGCTTAATTGTTCGTTTAAAGTGTGTAGCTGTTCTGTTGTTAATTTTGTCTGTAAAGCGCTTTGAGAAAGCAACTTTTAAATGTTTTTTTTTTTTTTAAGTAAACGTATTATCGTTATTATTGCTTTGTGGCTTCTCCCTCTGCGGACAGTGTTTTCTGACCCCCGTGATTTTGTTCTGACCCTGTGTGTTGTTGTGTGTTGCGTCTCTCTTTTTGCAGACGTCCTGCTGCAGGAATTCCGGGGGCATCAACAGGGCGCCGACCCCACTCCCAGGCTGGTTAACAACGTGGGGTCGAAGATCTTCCGCATCAGGAACTTCATTGGATTCATGGCGGCGGGGCACACCGACCTGGCCAGCTTTGGGTTCCTCAACCAGACGGCGAGGATGCGGTCTTGGCACCAGTCCCTGATCCAGGCCAAGATCGCGGAGCCAACCATCCAGATGTACCTTAAGAACGTGTCGCAGTTCTTGCTGTACATCTCTGAGACCCCGCCGCCCACCTGCCGCCTCTCCCGCACCGTCATGGTCGGCCTCAACCGGGAGATCAAAAGCCTGATCCGCTCGGTTCGGCGGAGAGTGGTGGTCCACGAGGTGGGGGTCAAACAGGCCAAGGAGGGCCACTTGATCCCCAAGGCCGCTCTCCGCCAGTGCGTTGCCTCCGCCAGGGCCGCCATTCCTGAAATCCTTGGTAACTTTTTGCCTCCTCTTACCTCTTAAACCTTTGCGTAGCACTCTGTTTAACAAATTTTTTGTTGTTGTTTTTCAACAGCCCGTCTGAAGGTGACCCTTGACAGGAAGGACCAGTGGTCATTTTATGGGCACCTCACTGCTTACCTGGCCTGCATCTACGGGCATCGCGGTGGGTTGTTCCAGAACATGACCATTGCGGAGGTGGAGGCAGCGCAACAGGCCACCATGGACGGGTGCTATGTGATTAATGTGAGTTGAACGTTAAATGTTCTCTTTCTCTCTCTCTCTCTCTCTGTCCTTCTCTTACGCCGCTCGTTTGTTGCTGTTTCCACAGATCTCAACCCACAAGACGAACCAGGCCTTCAGGGCCGCTCAGCTGGCAGTGACGGAGAACGAATATCAGTGGATGGCGGAGTTCCTGGCCATGAGGAAGGAGCTAGTGGGCGGTGCCGACGCCCATTTCTTCTTTTTCACCTCCAAGCCCAGCCCGTGCAAGAACCTGAACCAGTATTTTCAGGAGGCATGGGCTGGGCTTGAACTGCCGGGAACTCCGACATTCACGGATGTCAGGACCTCCATCGCAACCCACGTGAGTTTTTTAGCCCGTGCTTTTCTGCCTTGTGAACTCGTGACGTAAGGGTGTTTGTTTCCAACTGTGCTTTTCTCTCTGAACAGGCCAAGAACACCATCAGCCCCGGGGACCGGCACAAAGTGGCACGGTTCATGTGCCACGACACCTCCACGGCTGACAAGTTTTATGCGTTGAACCTGGATGCCAAGCAGGCCCTGGAACAGCGGGCGTTGTTCCAGGCAGCCGTGGAGGGTGAGGATGCCCCCCCGGGGACCCCAGAGAGCCCCACCACCACCACCACCACCACCTCCTCCTCCTCCCGTCGCAAGGCGTCTGGGAAGCAGCGGAAGAGACCGGCCCCCTCCGCCAGCCCCCCGGACCAGGACACGGACCAGGAGCAGGAGAAAGATGAGGAGCAGGAGCAGGACCAGGACCAGGAGCAGGACAAGGAGAAACCGTCCACTTCGGTAAGTCTGACTTTTGGCGGGTCTGTTTTAAATGTTTGTCTGACGAGTGTTTGGAGTGTTTATTCATTCTTCTTTCCCTTCTCGCTCTTTGCAGGGCCAGTCCAGCCCGCCGAAAAGAAGACGGCGTCCTGTGGTCCGCCTGTCTCCTATGAAGTCTCCACACAAAGTGGCCCAGAAGCTGATTAGGACGGCGATCCTAAGGACCAAAAAGAGGACAAGGAAGCCGACCAAATTTACTTTTTAAATAAAAAATGTTGTTAAATTTTAATCTGTTTTTTTGTTTAAATCAGTTTTTAATCAGTTTTTTTCTAATCAGTTTGTGTTCATTTATAATCAGTTCAGTTGTTTTGTAATAAATGTTTTGTGTTCAATAAATGTTTTAAAAGTTTTACTTGTGAGTTTGGGTTCTTGTTCTAACAAATGTTTGAACAGTTTCAATTGTTTTTTGGGATGCTAATTGGTGGACTCGTTCGGGGGGGTCGGAAGGTTGAAAAGGGGCACAGTGGGTTATTGGACAAATTGTGGGTTCTTGGACAGTGGGAAAGATTGCAGGTGGGATTCTGTCCATTTGCAGCTTATTGGATGGAGGCTGGGGTTAGTACATTTGAAAATAGTGGGTTATTGGACAAATAGTGGGTTCTTGGACAGTGGTATTATGGGATGGCACTTGGTTCTACAGACTCAGGGGCCCCAGCTGAGTGCAGATACATGGTTTTCATCCAAATATCTTGAAAGCTAAGCTTAAAAACCACTGTCTAAATACACACTATTTGTCCAATAACCCACTATTTTTCAAATGTACTACCCCCGACCTTCATGCAAAAAGCTGCAAATGGACGGAATCCCGCCTGCAATCAATTCAATGGGTTTTTGGGTAGTATATTTCTAAAATAGTGGGTTATTGGACAAAAAGTGGGTTCTTGGACAGTTGGTTATTGGACAAATAGTGGGTTCTTGGACAGTGGGATAGGTTGCAGGTGGGATTCTGTCCATTTGCAGCTTATTGCATGGAGGCAGAAGTTAGTACATTTGAAAAATAGTGGGTTATTGGACAAATAGTGGGTTCTTGGACAGTGGGATAGATTGCAAGTGGGATTCTGTCCATTTGCAGCTTATTGCATGGAGGCTGGGGTTAGTACATTTGAAAATAGTGGGTTATTGGACAAATAGTGGGTTATTGGACAGTGGGATAGATTGCAGGTGGGATTCTGTCCATTTGCAGCTTATTGCATGGAGGCTGGGGTTAGTACATTTGAAAATAGTGGGTTATTGGACAAATAGTGGGTTATTGGACAGTGGGATAGATTGCAGGTGGGATTCTGGTCCATTTGCAGCTTAGTTGCATGGAGGCTGGGGTTAGTACATTTGAAAATAGTGGGTTATTGGACAAATAGTGGGTTATTGGACAGTGGGATAGATTGCAGGTGGGATTCTGTCCATTTGCAGCTTATTGCATGGAGGCTGGGGTTAGTACATTTGAAAATAGTGGGTTATTGGACAAATAGTGGGTTATTGGACAGTGGGATAGATTGTAGGTGGGATTCTGTCCATTTGCAGCTTATTACATGGAGGCTGGGGTTAGTACAATTGAAAATAGTGGGTTATTGGACAAATAGTGGGTTATTGGACAGTGGGATAGATTGCAGGTGGGATTCTGTCCATTTGCAGCTTATTGCATGGAGGCTGGGGTTAGTACATTTGAAAATAGTGGGTTATTGGACAAAAAGTGGGTTATTGGACAGTGGGATAGATTGCAGGTGGGATTCTGTCCATTTGCAGCTTATTGCATGGAGGCTGGGGTTAGTACATTTGAAAATAGTGGGTTATTGGACAAAAAAGTGGGTTATTGGACAGTGGGATAGATTGCAGGTGGGATTCTGTCCATTTGCAGCTTATTGCATGGAGGCTGGGGTTAGTACATTTGAAAATAGTGGTTATTGGACAAAAAGTGGGTTATTGGACAGTGGGATAGATTGCAGGTGGGATTCTGTCCATTTGCAGCTTATTGCATGGAGGCTGGGGTTAGTACATTTGAAAATAGTGGGTTATTGGACAAATAGTGGGTTATTGGACAGTGGGATAGATAGCAAGTGGGATTCTGTCCATTTGCAGCTTATTGCATGGAGACTGAGGTTAGTACATTTGAAAAATAATGGGTTATTGGACACATAGTGGGTTCTTGGACAGTGGAATTATGGGATGGCACTTGGTTCTACAGACTCAGGGGCCCCAGCTGAGTGCAGGAAAGTAGTTTTCATCCAAATATTTTGAAAGCTAAGCTTAAAAACCACTGTCCAAATACCCACTTTTTGTCCAATAACCCACTATTTTTCAAATGTACTTACAAATGTTCATGCAATAAGCTGCAAATGGACGGAATCCCGCCTGCAATCAATTCAATGGGAATTTGAGTATGGTATTTTTTTGACTTTTTTTTGACCGTTTTTTTTCTTGATAAAAACTATATTACTGCAATCAGGGGGGCCCCCTGAGTCCGCGGCACCAAGCGCCGCCCCCAAATTCCACCGTCCACGAACCCACTATTTTTATAATGGCACAAATGCTACGTGGGATCTCGATATCTCAGCTCAGGAAGGGTCTAGAGCCTCCATTTTTGCACTCAGGTCTAAGTCCCAAGGCCCTCTATCCGAATCCCGAGTTTCGAGAAGATCGGAGAAACTTGTTTTTTCGGACCAAAAAAAACGACAGGGGTACCCCTGTCGCTTTTTTTGGCTCAAAATTTTGAGTTTCTCCGATCTTCTCGAAACGCGGGATTCGGATAGAGGGCCATGGGACAAGGACCTGAGTGCAAAAATGGAGGCTCTAGACCCTCCCAGAGCTGAGATATCGAAATCCCACGTAGCATTTGTCCCATTATAAAAATAGTGGGTTCGTGGACGGTGGAATTTGGGGGCGGCGCTTGGTGCCGCGGACTCAGGGGGCCCCCCTGAGTGCAGTAAAATAGTTTTTATCAAGAAAAAAAACGGTCAAAAAAAAGTCAAAAAAATACCATTCCCAAATCCCCATTCAATCGATGGTAGGCGGGATTCTGTCCATTCGCAGCTTATTGCATGAAGATCGGGGTTAGTAGATTTCAAAAATAGTGGGTTATTGGACACATAGTGGGTTTGTGGACAGTGGAATTATGGGATGGTGCTTGGTGCTACAGACTCAGGGGCCCCAGCTGAGTGCAGGAAAGTAGTTTTCATCCAAATATTTTGAAAGCTAAGCTTAAAAACCACTGTCCAAATACCCACTATTTGTCCAATAACCCACTATTTTTCAAATGTACTAACCCCAGCCTCCATGCAATAAGCTGCAAATGGACAGAATCCCACCTGCAATCTATCCCATTGTCCAAGAACCCACTATTTGTCCAATAACCAACTGTCCAAGAACCCACTATTTGTCCAATAAGCCACTATTTTCAAATGTACTAACCCCAGGCTCCATGCAATAAGCTGCAAATGGACAGAATCCCACCTGCAATCTATCCCACTGTCCAAGGACCCACTATTTGTCCAATAACCCAGTATTTTCAAATGTACTAAACCCAGCCTTCATGCAATAAGCTGCAAATGGACAGAATCCCACCTGCAATCTATCCCACTGTCCAAGAACCCACTATTTGTCCAATAACCGACTATTTTCAAATGTACTAACCCCAGCCTCCATGCAATAATCTGCAAATGGACAGAATCCCACCTGCAATCTATCCCACTGTCCACGGACCCACTATTTGTCCAATAACCCACTATTTTCAAATGTACTAACCCCGGCCTTCATGCAATAAGCTGCAAATGGACAGAATCCCACCTGCAATCTATCCCATTGTCCAAGAACCCACTATTTGTCCAATAACCCACTATTTTCAAATATTCTAACCCCAGTCTCCATGCAATAAGCTGCAAATGGACAGAATCCCACCTGCAATCTATCCCATTGTCCAAGAACCCACAATTTGTCCAATAACCAACTGTCCAAGAACCCACTTTTTGTTCAATAACCCACTATTTTCAAATGTACTAACCCCAGCCTCCATGCAATAAGCTGCAAATGGACAGAATCCCACCTGCAATCTATCCCATTGTCCAAGAACCCACTATTATTAGGGCCCAAGCCCTGAAAGGGCGAAGGCCCTATTGTTTTCCTTCCGATTATTTTTATTTTATTTTTTTTTTTTTATTTTTTTTTTCTAACGACTATTCGGGCACTTTTGGGGCCCTTAACATGCTCGAAAACTCTTGAAACTTTGCACACGGGTCAGAACCCGCGGCCATCAGAGCCGGGCTGAAGCTGGTACCTGGGCGTGGCAGGGCGGCTCGTCAGCGCCCCTGGAACGGGGTCCGAACACTTGGTCCATAACTCAAACACGCTTGTATGTAATAATATGAAACTCGGTACACATGTTGCTCTCATCGTTTCATCTATACCTCACACTCTTACTTTTTACCCCAGCCCAACAGGAAGTCGGCTATTGAGGTTTGTTTGTAAAACGCTCGCAATGGAATGTTAAATACTCCTCCTAGAGCTTTGATCCAAGTTCGACGAAACTCAGTCAGCGTGAAGTCAAGACATTGAGGATGAAAGTTTGCGAGGGGATTTTTGATATCTCGAACGGTTTGGCCGTGGCGAGGAAACGAAACTATGGCGAGAAACGTGAAACAGGAAGTGTGTTATAACTTCAGCATACATTAACTGATCTTGATGAAACTTCAGCAGTGTGTTCGCTGTAAGAGGACGATCACATGGATGTGACTATTGTGAGTCAAAGTTATAGCGCCACCAACTGGCAGCAGGAAGTGTGTCATTTTCAAAATGTTTTGAAATCACCCTCTAATTTTTACTCGATTTGCTTCAAACTTAATCTGTATACTGCAAATACACAGCAGATGAAGACCTGTGAATGGATTCTTGATATCTTTGAAACTGTTGCCGTGGCAACGCATCAAACTTTACCATTCTTTTAGGATGCTTTTGAGACTCTTAACATGCTTTAAATTGCATGAAACTCTACAGACACATAACATTTATTAGCCAGTAGACATGTGCAAAGTTTCAGAAACGGGCGTGGTGAGGGCTCAGTAGCGCCACCTTTTGACAAAAGTGGGGTTGTTAGTTTTATCTACAGTTACAAAAATCGGTATGTATATTGTACTCCTCGAGCCGGACAACTTTCTAATTGACACTCATTAGCTAGGACCCACAGAAAGTCAGATATGTTTGTTTGAATGTAAAGAAAATCTCAGAATTTTGCCAGTCTCTCAGTGTCCCTCTGTGTGAGTGAGAGGAGGGGCGCCTGTC